ACCCTGAGTGATTTTTTTTTTTGAAGTTCTTCTTAACTTTGGGGGCAGTCAAAGTCAGCAGAAATCACATAAAGAGTTGTTTGGCATGTTTGACTATTGATAAGATGGAACAGAGAGAAAACATGTACTGCTGGATGGACTGCATTCCTTGACTAAAGGTCTGAGGAATATTTCTCGGCAGAGGAAATGGTTGAAATTTTGTGGTTCTTCCAGAGAGCTTAATAAGACTTGTTTTTGGAGCAGAATACTGCATCTCTTACAGCCTCAAATTCAACTTATCAATTATCATTGTTCAGAATTGGGAAAATATTATTTTCTCCCAGTAGCATAGAATTTACATAGCAGCCCCTACTTTTAATTTTCTCTAATTCATAATGACAGCCTATTAAAAGGGCATTTTTGCCTGGCATTCTTAAAAAGTCACAACTTCATAGTGGCTGATTTTCTCGTGGTGTTATTTAAGATGAGGTTCATAAAATGTAAATTTACTACATTCATTTACTTGGATCTTTATTCATTGGTGGAAAGTGTAACTACCTTAAGCACATGTGCTTTTTAAGTATTCTTCCCCCCTTAAAGTCAGTAAATATAGCAATGAATGCATAAACAGAAAGGAAAATAAATAATAGCCAAGAACTGTCTTCTTAAAGCAGTAAGTCATAGAAAGAATTTATATGGATAAGGAATTATAAGTTGACAGTTTTTATTATTGCTCTTTAAAGGAGTAAGCTGTTTCCTGGGTACTCTTTTAAGTTTTTTAAAAATAGGCAAATTATTGCTAACCTGATATCCTGACTGCTTAGAATTAATGAATCAATCTGGAACATATTGGTATTCAACATCACTGTTGAATATATCAGGCCAAATGCATATCGACATTTTACTTTCTCAAGGCCACTGGACTTCAGTACCAAAGCATAACTGAGGTCATATTCATCTATTGAGATAGTTCAGTAGCAGAGTAATCCTCCATAATGCAAAATGATATTGGTGTTGTTACTGTAACGTATGAGACATGTATTGCATTCACTTCAACATTAATTCCCAAACTGTCTTAATTGGGAATGCTGCCAATATTTGGTTTGGGGCACCTAATGTATAAATAACATTATATGCAACTGCATTTCATAAAGCTATGGAAATTTGCTTCATAAATACAGATTTGGAAAGAAGAAACTTAATATTTAATATTTAGTATTAATATTTTAGAGATGCAGTGGCTCAATGCCAACCTGGCAGTTAGCAATTAATATTTTCCTTGATGCTTATTATATAACGACAGTAAACAATCATTTCGTCAAGGACTATTGCATTTGGGACTAAAGAACTGCACACAGACACCCTGCCATTCACAATCATCTGCCATTTTTGTTTTGTTGCATACTTTTGTATATAACTAAGTTTTTTGCTTAGCCTGCTTTGCTACAACACATTTTCCCCAATTAAACAAATCGGCACAAGATCTTACCTTCATGTTTGCATCAATAGAGACAAGCATGGATGCAGTCTAGAAAATCAGAGGCAATCTGAGGCACTTTGTCTGAGTGAGTTATCTCCTTTACCCAAAGGCTTGTACAGCTCCATAGCTACTTCTGTGAGTATATTGGATTTAGCTTGGGGAAATGGATCATAGACACTCAGTTTCTGCAATATTTGTAACAGTCAGGTGTCATGTATCATCATGTCTCTTTAAAGCTGGGATATGAAAACTCCAATTTACAGATCTGATCTGACCTGCCAGACTAAACCGTCCAAATTGGAAAGCTAAACATAGACTCATAGCATCGGAAGAGATAATTTACACCATCGAGGCCAAGCACCTGCTCAATTCAGAAATCTGAAGTAAAATATCTCAGACACCTGGCTGCCTTCGCTCTATTTGAATTCTTCTAACAAAGCAAACTGAGCCCTTCTTGACATGAGCCTCTCTACCCTACTCTCTTCAGCATTTCAACAGCTTAATTATGTAACTTTTCTATTTAGGGAAATAAAAGAGCTTCTAAAAATGACAAGAAATAGTGCTTGCAGGCTGTTTCATCTCCTCTGCACCTTGCATTTCTCAACTGGAAGCCATTGTCTATTTTGCAAATATTGTAAGTTGCCCAGAATCACCTATGTGTGAGTTGGGCAGCTATATAAATTTGTTTAATAAATAAAATAAATATTAATATGAGTGCCTATCAAGGTACTCTGATCTGACATATTTATGCATGCCTGTGCACATATTAATTAGGGTAGGGATGATTTCCAAAAGTGATTTTATTTGGAGTTTGCAGTTCTATATGGAGAAGTTCTATATGGAGAAGCAGGGTTTCAGAAAATCCCACAGAACCAGAAAAGGAATCCTACAGAGATCCTATAGGAGCAAAAGAATTCTTCAAACCAGTCTCAAATGAGAAATAACAGACAAAAGATAGATCTAGAGACCAACTAGAACTCTTGTGGAATAAGTGAATATTGTTATAGCTAAGAAATCAGCCATTGGTTACAGACTGCAAATATGGAGGAACAAAGCAGGCTGAATGAACATTGTCTCTGCAACTATTTATTTATTTATTTATTTATTCAAACAATTATTAGATAACAGGTATAAGTATAAACATGGTTATAAATACATGAAATGGATATGAATAAGAAAAAAAAAGAAACAATAGGTCAGGGACGTACGCACGTTTTGGTGCGCTTATGCACGCCCCCTACAGACCTCTTAGGAAAGGGGTGAGGTCAATAGTAAACAGTCTAATGTTGAAGATTTTGGGGTTTGGGGAAGAAACCACAGAGTCAGGTAGAGTATTCCAGACATTGACTACTGTGTTGCTGAAGTCATATTTCCTGCAATCAAGTTTGGTGCAGTTTATCTTTAGTTTGCATCTATTTTGTGCTCTTGTATTGTTTGGTTGAAGCTGACGTATTCATTGATAGGTAGGACATTGCACTGTATAATTTTATATCCTTAGATTGAACCAAAGGCGGCATAGTCCTAGGTTGTCTAGATCCAAAATTTCAAGTCTGGTGGCATAAGGTATTCTGCTACAAGTAGAGGAGTGGAGAACTCTTCTTGTGAAATATTTCTGGACTTTCTCAACTGTGCTAATATCAGATACGTAATGTGGGTTCCAGACTGATGAGCTGTATTCGAGTATTGGTCTAGCAAATGTTTTATATGCTCTAGTTAGTAGAGTGATATTACTGGAGAAAAAGCTACACAGGATTAGGTTAACAACTCTTAATGCCTTTTTGGCTATGTAGTTACAGTGGGCTCTAGCACTTAGATCATTTGAGATGAGTATTCCAAGGCCCTTGACAAAGTTTTTGTCATCAAGAAGGTCTTGACTATTCAGCTTGTATTTTATTTTCTGATATTTTTTTTGCCAATATGTAAGATAGAGCATTTATTTGTTGAGATTTGAAGTTGCCATTTGTCTGACCATTCTGACACATAGTCAAGGTCTTTTTGAAGGGTAGCAGCATTGTCAGTGGTGTTGAATAGCTTTCCATCGTCAGCGAAGAGAACACAGTTGCTCTTAATATGATCACAGAGGTCATTTATGTAGAGTATGAAAAGAGTTGGTGCTAGAACACTGCCTTGGGGGACACCACTGTTGGCAGGTACAGAATTTGATAGGACGCTCCCAATTTTGACCATTTGTTGTCTATTTGACAGGAATGCTTCTATCCAGTTATGCAGGTGTCCAGAGATACCATAAGATTTTAGTTTTAGGAGTAGTTTGTCATGTACCACTGAATCAAAGGCTTTACAGAAATCTATGTAGATTGCATCTATTGTTTTTCCCTGATCAAGTTGTGTAGTCCATATGTTTTTGCGGTGTAAGAGTTGCAAATTACAGTATAGTTTTTTTCTGAAACCAAATTGTTTATTGGAGAGTAAGTTGTTCGTCTCTAAGTGGAGGATAATGGATTGGTTAATAATTGATTCCATGACTTTACAGGTGATGCAGCATAAGGAGATTGGTCTGTAATTTTCAACTAGGCTGGGGTCTCCCTTTTTGAAGATGGGGATGACCGTGGCTTCTGACCATAGTTTTGGCAAGGAGCTGGTCCTGAAAAATTTTTCAAAGATTATGCTTAGAGATTTGGCTATGGCAGTGGATAGCTTTTTTAAGAAGTAGCCACAAACTATCTCTGAAGACCACTTTATAAAGCTCTTGGCAGCTGGCTTCTCCCAGGCTTTGCTGTCTGTCATTGTGTTTCTTGTTTCACGGAAGCTACATCTTACTCAGCTTTGCCCCTCATATGTTTAGGCTGGTTTTCTTCCTCTTGGCAGCAGTGGCACTGCACGTGGCTCAGAGGTTGGAGCTGAAGAGACTGAAGCTGCTTCAGAGCATCCAGGTTTCTCTATGTCTTCCCTTGTCATCTCTTCCTGCAAGGAATAGCCCAGGGGATGCAGGATTTGAAGTGGGGAAAAATGGCAGTTCACAGAACTCTCTCTCTCTCTCTGTGTGTGTGTATGTTTTGTTGTTGTTGTTTTTCCCGTATGTTTATTCTTTGGGGTGGAGATTATCTGCATAATCAATCGTTATCCAAAAAAAAATGTGTATTCTTTCTCTTTCATTGAAACAAAATTTTAAAAAAGACAACCATTATATAGACACGCTTATACCATATAACTATTTCAGGCCAATCATTTGCAGGTTATTTTATTTAATGTTGCAGTTGTTCAATGGCAGTTTTTCTCAACCTGTGGTCTGTGGGGGACTGGGATGTCATCACAGGAAACCCACAAAGAATGTTATGATTTAAATCTTGAGTTAAGTCTTGGTGGTTCCTGGTACGAAAGGTATTTAGAGGCGGTCTATGCTGAAGAACCACTGGCTTAAGTGCTTTAATGTCAGATAACGCTGCGCTTTGATGGATAGATTTTGAGCTGATTTGAAAGGGTTAAGATCAATACCTCCACCCTTTCCTGCCTCCTGTTCTCCTCCCCTCCCCTTTGCCTCTTCTGATATCTTTTGTTTTTTCTTTCTTCCCCTTTTCCCCAGCTGTGGACATGGATGGAAGACCTGCAGAAGGAGCTCTTAGAAGACGTTTGTGCTGACTCCGTTGATGCTGTTCAGGAACTCATAAAGCAGTTCCAGCAGCAGCAAACAGCTACTCTGGATGCCACTCTCAATGTCATCAAAGAAGGGGAAGATCTAATCCAGCAGCTCAGGTGAGCTCCTTGGGCACATCAGGACGCACCTTGGAATTCCATGCGGAAATTAGTGCTTCTCATTATTCAGAATCATATTGCTATTTACTTTGGCATAGTTCACTTGTTTTATTATTGCTGGAGAGCTGCCTTGATTCGCCTGGCAGAAGGGACACAGAAGTACTTGCAATCATTAAAGAATTTTTAAGTGCATCATTTCACTGAAACTATAAGGGATAATTTGTGGAGATGAATAATAAGTATTCTCAGTTCACCTGGACCACTGCGTGTAATGGATGAGGAGAGCTGCAGGTGTACTAAACTGACTATGATTAAATGGTACTGCCTAAATTTGCTTGAAGTGGAAATTTGGGGAACATTATTAGATTGTTATAAATGGAGGCTTTGTGGTTTAAATACTTACTCCTGCTAAGCAGTGTCTAGAATCCACTAAATAAAACATATGCCTTTAATATATCATTACCATTTTTTCACCTGAAGAGCTTTCAGTGTAGTAAGATCCCTGCGGCACCATAAAGATTTCAAGCTTTCAACTGATACCTATTATTTCCAAATGTACTGGGTTTATGTAAGTGTAATTTTCAGCGTGTGCCTAAAAAGTGACTATATGGAATATATAGGTTTCTACAAACACCTATAGCCAGGTTGAGATATTGAAGTCCCAAGGTTTGTGACTTTCTATAAATAGCCTTTGACTTAACAACCATAACAGAGTTTCTGTTGCTAAGCCCGGTGGTTAAGTGAGTTGTGTCTGATTTTATAACCTTTTTGCTACAGTTGTAAAATGAATTACACAGTTCTTAAACAAATCCAGCTTCTTCCATTCCTCCATGACTTTGCCTGCCATCTGGGAAGGTTGCAGCTGACAACCACTGTAAATATATGTTGGTTGTCAAGCACCCAAATTTTTATCACATGACTGAGGCAATGCTGTGATGGTTGTAAGTGCAGGGACCAATCACAAGTTCACCTTTTTTCAGTGTCATTGTAACTTTTAAGGGATAGCAATAGCACTTAGACTTATATACTGCTTTACAGTCCTCTCTAAGCGGTTTACAGAGCCAGCACATTGCCCCCAACAATCTGGATCTTCATTTTAGCCACCTCAGAAGGGTGGAAGGCTGAGTCAACTTTGAGCCATTCAGAATCGAACTCCTGGAGTGAGCAGTGGGTTAGCTTGCAGTACTGCATTCATATGTATGTTTTCTTAAGTTTTCACGGGTACTTACATGTATGGTATTCAGCTTTGTTCAGGTATTTTCCCACGTCATTATAGTTGTGCTTTTAAAGTTGTAGCAACGTTTCGGCAGAATCTCATCTGCCATCATCAGGCTTTTGTATTGTGTTCGTCTGTGAGTCAGACTTTCACAGCCGTTTCAGTTTTAAATTTGGGGCTAGCCTACTGCTGTGGCAGAATGGTTTTTTCTTCATCCTGATTGGTTGGGAGTCTTGGTCTGTGTTTATTGGTCTTGGA